GTTTACGTTTTTTATGATTGAATACCGATTTATATATAAACAGCGTAATATTCATTGCGATGTATTTGGCATGACTACGAATCACTGAAAACGAGCTTGTTCGCCACTCCTTGTTGTATTTGAAAATGTGCTCTGTGGGACTGTTTAGACATAAGATTCAGTTTATTAATTTTGCGTTGACAAACTGGAAGATTGTAAGTTGGGGAAAAAACAACAAGAGGGAGGGTGTTCTACAGTTTGGCAGCTCGGGGGAAAAAAGAAGGTTAGGGTAGAGAGGTACGACACCTGGGAACAGGAACCTGATGAGGATGACTAGATGGTTGTGCACGGAAAGGGCGGGTAAAAGTTGCCGGAAGAGGAACTGCCGAGGTAAGTTCCGAAGAACAAAAACCAAAGTGGAAGCGGTAGAACAGAGAGAATGAAGCAATTGCCCGGCGATGGGCTAGCGACTGCAGACCAGATATTAGGGTAGGATCACCGATTAGCCGAATGACCTTTCGTTGAACACAATCAAGAAGAGAAAAGGAAGAGGACGAAGCCCCACCCAACACGTGACTACAGTATTCAAGAGCAGGGCGGATTTGAGCTTTGTACAATAGAAGATGAGCTCGGGTGAAAAAACGTCTGGCGCGCAATAGAAATCCAAACTTGCGCGCAGCAGGAGAAACAAGCCTGGTTACAAAAGAGGACCAGCATAAAGAAGAAGTTATAGGCAATCCAAGAAGAGGAACAGAGTCTGTGGAACTCAGTTGGATGGAATCAAAAGATAAATGGGGGGAGAATGGATGGTGTTTTAAAGAAATTGAAAGGAGAGAGGTTTTAAAACTATTGAACGAAACGTGGTTTGCAATTCCCCAGGAGATGTGTTCGAAATCGGAGTCCAGTGACTACGGTCGCTATCGATATTGGTTTAGGCATGGCGAGCAGTGTCGTAGGAGAGGGAGAAGTGGAGGGTGGGGTCATCAGCAAAAGAATGAATCGGGTTGGCAGTTTGGGAAAGCAGATCATTGATAAAAAAAAGTAACAGGGTGGGCGCATGTACTGAACCTTGGGGAACATAGACGTTCTCAGGGAATAGCTGAGATAGAACCCAATCAGCTCGGACGGAGATGGTTAGCTTGCTGAGGAAATTTTATATCCACGCTACGAGCGCTGGAGGGAACCTGAACATGGGTAATTTAATCAGTATACCTTCATGCCAAACTCGGTCGAAGGCCGTTGAGATGTCAAGCGAGATCAAGTGTGTTTTCCCGTGATTATCGAGCGGAGCTGACTAGGATTGTGAGACAAGAGCCAGAAGGTCGCCGGTGGAACAACGCGGTCGAAGGCGATACGGGCGGTCGTTTAGTAGTCCTTCGCATTCGAGGAACGCGCGAAGCTGGTCAGAAACGATAGTTTCAAATACGTTCGAAAGAACAGATGT